AGAGGCTGCGCCTCTGAATTTTTGTTTCCAGTTCACTGAAAAGGAAAACTGATCTCTGAGTAAACTGTAGGGAGGACAGTCTCACTGTTGCTCACCCTGAGATGGTCTTTTAGCTTATGTGGAGAGAGAGAGAGAGAGAGAGAGAGAGAGAGAGAGAGAGAGAGAGAGAGAGAGAGAGAGAGAGAGAGAGAGAGAGAGATGATAGTGTGTGTGTATGTGTGTGTGTGTGCGTGAGAGAGAGATGATAGAGGGATAGAGATAGATAGATAGATAGATAGATAGATAGATATAGATAGATAGATAGATAGAGATAGATAGATAGATAGATAGATAGGTAGGTAGGTAGGTAGGTAGGTAGGTAGGTAGGTAGGTAGATAGATAGATAGATAGATAGATAGATAGATAGATAGATAGATAGATAGATAGATAGATATCATAGATATAGATAGATATGATTGAGAAAGAGATGAGAGAAAGATAGATAGATAGATAGATAGATAGATAGATAGATAGATAGATAGATAGATAGATTTGATAGAGAGTGTGTGTGTATGTGTGTGTGTGAGAGAGAGATGATAGAGGGATAGAGGGATAGATAGATAGATAGATAGATAGATAGATAGATAGACAGATGATAGATAGATAGATAGATGAGAGAGATAGAGAAAGAGAGAGAGAGATAGACAGAAAGATGATAGATAGATAGATAGATAGATAGATAGATAGATAGATGAGAGAGAGAGAGAGAGAGAGAGAGAGAGAGAGAGAGAGAGAGAGAGAGAGAGAGAGAGAGAGAGAGAGAGAGATTGGACAGGCAGGCAGGTGTGCATTCATGTACCCTTCCCCAAACTTTGCCAGGGGTTGAGAAGCTGAGAGTTGTGAGGGTTCAGTTGCCTTTTGTGTCTCCCTCGCAGTTCGCCCAGTATGCAGAGATCGTCAACTTCACCCTCCCAAACGGCACCCGTCGGAGCGGGCAGGTGCTGGAGGTGGCCGGCTCCAAAGCCATTGTCCAGGTGAGTGGAAAGGACACCCGGGGCGCCCCAGAGAGCCAAGGGGGTCTTGATGTAAATCCAATCCATGATAAAAATCTGGAATCAGCCACCGCAAGGGCCCAGAGTGGGCCCTGAATGCCAACTTTGAAACACATACAAGGAACAGTTGCTGGAATTGGGAATGTCTAGTTTAACGAAGAGAAGGACGAGGGGGGACAGGATAGCCAATGTTCCAGTATCTCAGGGGCTGCCCCAGAGAAAAGGCAGTCAAGCTCTTCTCCAAAGCCCCTGAAGGCACGAAGTAACGGGTGGAAACTCATCAAGGAGAGAAGCAACCTGGAACTAAGGAGAAACTTCCTGACAGTTAGAACTCCTTGCCAGTGGAACTCCTTGCCTCCAGAAGCGGTGAATGCTCCAACACTGGAGGTTTTTAAGAAGAGGCTGGACAGCCATTTGTCCGAAATGGTATAGGGTTTCCTGCCTGAGCAGGGGGTTGGACTAGATGACCTCCAAGGTCCCATCCAACATTATTATTATGATGATGATGACGTTGATGATGACGATGATGATCACAGGCTTCTGAGGACCTTCCCTGGAGGATATAAGATGAATCCCAAGATGGTTGTCTTGAGATGACCAGGCTGTTCCCAGCCTTGCCATCTCATCTGCTAAGAATCTGATTTGGGCTTTCCTGGGAACCAGTAGGGCATCTTCCAGAGTCTTCCCCGGACTTCCAAAAACTTCCTGAAGGTTCTGGAGAAGATAGACAAGAAGCAGAATTCCAACATCTCAGGGGTTTTCATGAGGAAGAGGGGGGGGGGTCAAGCTATTCTCCAAAGCCCCTGAAGAAGGCAGGACAAGAAGCAACGGATGGAAACCGATCAAGGAGAGAAGCAACCTAGAACTAAGAAGAAACTTCCTAACAGGGAGGACAGTTAACCAGTGGAACAGCCTGCCTCTAGAAGCTGCAGCTGCTCCAGCACTGGAGGCTCTCAAGAAGAGATTGGACAGCCACTTGTGTGACATGGTATAGGGTCTGCCTTTGGAGCAAGGGGTTAATAATAATAATAATAATAATAATAATAATAATAATAATAATAATAATAATAATAGTAAAGTTGGAAGGGACCTTGGAGGTCATCTAGTCCAACCCCCTGCTCAGGCAGGAAACCCTATACCATTTCGGACAAATGGCTGTCCAGTCTCTTCTTAAAAACTTCCAGTGTGGGCGCATTCACCGCTTCTGGAGGCAGGTTGTTCCACTGGTTCATTGTTCTCACTGTCAGGAAGTTTCTCCTTAATTCCAGGTTGCTTCTCTCCTTGATGAGTTCCCATCCGTTGCTTCTTATCCTGCCTTCAGGCGCTTTGGAGAATAGCTTGACTCCCTCTTCTTTGGGGCAGCCCCTGAGATATTGGAACCCTGCTATCCTGTCCCCCCTCGTCCTTCTCTTCATTAAACTAGACATACCCAATTCCAGCAGCCGTTCCTTATATGCTTTAGCCTCCAGTCCCCTAATCATCTTTGTTGCTCTTCTCTGTACTCTTTCTAAAGTCTCAACATCTTTTTTACATCGCGGTGACCAAAACTGGATGCAGTATTCCAAGTGTGGCCTTACCAAGGCATTGTAAAGTGGTATTAACACTTCACGTGATCTTGATTCTATCCCTCTGTTAATGCAGCCTAGCACTGTGTTGGCCTCCAAGTTCCCTTCCAGCTCTGTTATTCTGCCCTGTTCAGCCTGCCCAATCCCAGAAGCCAGCTGCAGCAGAAGTTTCCTCAACCCCACCCATCGAGGGGGGTCTTCTGCTGTGTCTCTGGAACTCGTGACATGCTCAGAAAACCTGGTTCTGGCCTCCTGTCCCTCGTTCCCCAGCCCTGCAGGGGATGTCCGGTGGCCACGTGGGCTGAGGGTGGTAGGAAGAGCTGCCCAGGGCACAGAGAGGGCATCGGGTTGACCAAGGATGCATGTTCCAAGAAGACCAGTTAATCTTTCACGTCCTGAGTGCCAGCCAGATTGAGCCAGGGGGATTCAGCCCACACGGCTGCTGCTGGCTCCGTTGCTCTAAATATAAACCAGGATTGCAGCTTAGACAAAGATACACAGCTTAGGCTCAAGCTGACACGTGGCCTCTTAGTGGAAACGGAGCCAAAGTTTCGGCGGAGGCATCAAAGGCTGGCCAGCTCGATTATACAAAAGAGGAATTTTGCAGAGCGGGTTCTGGGTTCTGTTCTGTACTTCCCACTCAAGCGAGGTGTCCGCGGGGTCTGGTCCAAAGTGAAGGAGCCCCCAAAACACGTCCAAAATGGGGGGGAACTGGGCTCAGGCTGTTGCAACGGCCCTCTTGATGTTTTGGACCCTCCGTTGCAGACACGCTGCATTCACGTTGACCCTGAGCACCCAAATGGAATGACAGCTTTGGGTAACTGGGTTTAGCATACTAAAAAGCAGAGACATCACCCTGCCAACAAAAGTGCGTACAGTCAAGGCCATGGTTTTCGCAGTTGCAATGTATGGCTGTGAAAGTCGGACCCTAAGAAAGGCTGAGCGCCAAAGAATGGAGGCCTTTGAACTCTGGTGCTGGAGAAGACTCCTGCGAGTCCCCTGGACTGCAAGGCGATCCAACCGGTCAGTCCTGGAGGAGATCAACCCCGACTGCTCTTGAGAAGGCCAGATCCTGAAGTTGAAACTCAGGTACTTTGGCCACCTAATGAGAAGGAAGGACTCACTGGAGAAGAGCCTAATGCTGGGAAAGATGGAGGGCAATAGAAGAAGGGGACGACAGAGAAGGAGGTGGCTGGATGGAGTCCCTGAAGCAGGAGGCCTGAGCTTCAATGGACTCCAGAAGATGGTAGAGGACAGGAAGGCCTGGAGGAACGTGGTCCATGGGGTCGCGATGGGTCGGACACGACTTCGCAACTAACAACAACAACAAGCTCCTCTGTTCCTGGGGCCACCTAGAGATTTTTTTTCTCTCTCTCTCATTTCCATGGTGTTTGTTACTATGCTGAGTTCTGCAGAGATCTGGAAGCAGCAGGGAGCTATATCTCTTAAATATTCATGCATTTTGCTGTGAAAATCACTAATTTCCAAGGGACACTAGGAGTCAGGCAGCCCGGAAACTGTTACGGTTAGTGGCAGTCAGCCAGATGTTGAGACTGGATCTGGCGTTTTTGTCCACCTCGCGAGTCCTTCCCAAAGATCTGAGATAGGCAGACGTTGTCGCTTACTAATCTTAAAGGTCTCCTCACAGGATGTCAGCTGTTCCAAGCAAAACTGCCTGTTGCAATTGACCGACGGGGGATTGTTGTCAATGCCGATGGTGTTCAAGCGGTGCTCCAGATGTTTTGGGATTGCACCCAGGGCGCCTATGAGTGTAGGGGGCTATCTTTGGGGCGTTTTCCCCACGGTCGTTCTACTTCTATTTGCAGGTTTTTGATTTTGTGATTTTCTCCATTATTATTATTGCTATGGGTGGTCACACACTCAGCCAGATGTTTAGATCTAGAAGAATAGCGACAACACTGACAGGACAAGCCACTTGTAACTAAACAGAGAGCAAATTTTATTCCCTTCTAGCACTGATGATGTTAGCTAGCTGGGTAATGAAACATCTGCCAGACAAAAACCAAGCTCAGAGGGCACCAAGGATCCTACAGTCCTCCTCCTCCTCCTCCTCCTCCTCCTCCTCC